CAAATAGAGTTTTAGTTTACTCTTTGTGATTGGGAGAGAAGAGGAGAGAAAGTGATCAGAAGGGAGTCTGAGCATTACTGAGGGTCAGGATATTCCTCTCAGGTCTGCCCCTGGTGTAATTGTTATCATGCAACCTCACCTTCAGAGCTCTAAGTCTTCACACAATGACTTAAAGGAAAAACAACGCAGTGTTTTATTATTACTATAATTTAGTTTTAAAGACCTAGCTCTTTGATACTCATAAAGCAATTTACAATTATCTTGTAAATAAGGTTTTCCTTCTGCAGTATTTTGGTTAAATACTGCAGTACTTTGGTTAAATTCTGTACTGCATGTCTTTGCTTTCCAGTATTAAACTACTCTTAAAGATGTGTTTTTACTACAACATACAAACATTACCAAACAACTACAACAAAAAATCCTAATACACAATTTTTTCCATGTGAATCACCTAATTTCTTAACCACAAAGAGTCAAAATTCGGAGTTATATTAAAAATTTTCTAATTAGAAGGTACTTTGAACCTATATAAAGTTGACCTTTTACTGAGCTTAGTTTAAGAAACAGATAAAAGCTGAGAAAGGAACCTCATCATTTTATTTTATCTGGTTTAATTTCTCCAGTTGAAAACATAAACAAAACAAATGAAATGGATCTCGGATTTTATTCAATGCCACAATGCTTCTTCAATATTCTATTGCAGCTCATCTCATCAAATACTGAAATACTTACTCTTGATGTGTTGTGCAAAATTTAGTAAGCCGTTCAAAATCTTCACCATTAAATCCTTTTTCTGAATTCCTTACAGATGTAACTGTATGTGGCTGTACAGTTTTCCATTTTGTTTCTAAATTTAAAATATTTGTTACTCACTGAATATTACAAATCATACTTAGGAGGGAAACATAGTTAACTGGCACCACTGATTAAGATTAGCATGCAAAATTGTCTTCTCAAACAACCTAAAAGTTCACACAGTTAGAAATAGCTAAGTGATGACCTTTCAATATAAGTAAATATTACCCTCCAGACTAAATTAGCCAGTAGGGCATGCAAAGGGATTAGAAGAAATACAAATAGTTGCAAGAGTTCTCTTCTAGGCATTGATACGAAGAACAAAATACAAAGAGAAAGATTTTCTCTCAAAGACATGGACTTGTGGTAAAAACACTACTTTGTTTGCAACATTAACTTAGCTGTGAAAACATTTAGTTTCTGACTTACAAAACCCAGGCAAATATGTTAACTGTCTAGATAGCCACCTGTTAGATTACTGATAATTCCACATTGTCTGTTAGTCTGTACTCACCCCACTGCTCTTGAATGGCAGAAAGATTTGCGAGCAATTGCTCGTGATACAGTCGTTCAAGCTGAATGAACTTCATTGCTTTCTCATCTGAATAGAAAATTTGAGGAAAATAGAAATCCAGGCTATTTACACGTAGCCCCACATTTGAAGAATAATGTCCTATACAAATTGAGACATTTGAAGCTTACCAAAAAATAAGAGGACTCTAAACATTTTTAAGTTGAAACAAATCTTAAGTAAGGTTTCTTGGTTTGGAAGCAGGTACATTTTAATACAGCACATTATGCAGTAGCTACCGGGGTTCCATTCTACAAGCAAACGGTAGAAACTAAAAGAAAGTTTTAACGCTCAAGAAATGCCTGCTTGCTAATAATGTTTTAGCAGTCAATTAAACGTAATTTAATTGGAAATAGGACTGACATAAAATCCTTGAACCTAAGTGTCTCCCTTTTTTTTTCTTTCCTTAAATTACTTTCTGTGAAACTATACCCTCTTGTCAAACTGTTTCTGATTTCAACTTGCCTTGATTCTTTACTTATTTCTCACTGAATGCTTTTCTCCCACAAAACCAAAGGATTACAAGCCTAAACAAGGACAGAGCAAAACATTACATGGAACTTTTGTAAAAAATTAATTAACTTGCCACAGTAATTTTCATAATTAAGTGATTTTCCCTTTTTGTAGATTTTCTTATAAACTTCTGCCTTCTCCATCTGTATCACACATTTAGCACCATATGAGGTTGTGATACCTTGTCCAACTGTCTACCTTCCTTTGGGCCATGTTCTAAATGTTGACCCAGAAAGGGAGAGGCAAACTCACTGTTTAGCTTTTTGTCCTTGCCAAGGTGACTCAGAAGTTCAGTTGTCTCTCTCATTTGTAGTCTTAAAGATACACCAGGAATCATAAAATAGTCCAGGGAGAAGAAGCAGGGACAATTAATTCTGCTTTCCTCTGCCCATTGTTTTCTCATTGCTTTAGAACATAAAAATTGTCTAAAAAAATTGCTAACATACATTCATGGGTCTGATCTCCAGAAGCTCTGATTCTAGGGCCCATGAATTTGCATTTCTACGTAAGAAGCTCTCTGGGATGCTGACGTTGGTCTGCACTGCATTGCACCATACTCACTATTGGGTTAAAAAAAAAAAAAGAGTTCTAGCATCATTTCCACCAGAATTGGATTTTCTACACACTTAGTAATGAACTGCCATTGTCTGAGGTTGTTATCGGTGTGCTTGGTAGGGTGCATGGCGATGCCTGCCTATGCCTCCCTCTGTGGGAGAGGTGTGGCAAAAATCAACAAGGATGGAGCAAAAGAAACCACACCAATGGGGAAAAACACACGCTTATGATACATTCTTCTTTTTCTTTTACTGTTACTGTATTTTCTTTCTTTTTTCTTTTTTCTATTTGTTTCAGGTGTAGAGAGTATATATAGGGCCGTTCCTCAAAAAGAAAAGCAAGTTTTTAAAAAGGGAAATTGAAAAACTGAGGGAAGAAATCTTTCTTACACAAAAGTCTGCATACAGTCTCACTTGACAATATTCATTCTGTTTATTACAAGTGAAGAATTCAATCTTTCCTTTGCAGATGTACACACAACTGTAAAAAGACAGTCCCAGATCTGCTATGTACACTATGCCTCACAGGCCCTACCATATGAATGCTACTTGACTTGCACTTCTGTTTGATTTCAAAAAAGAAAGAAAGAAAGAAAGAAACTCCAATGGATTTTTAAATTATATTTTTCAGAAACATGATTTCCCCCCTCCTAAACACACAAATATTTAGATTTTGGTATAATTAGGACTTATTTATGGAAGGTTAATTTTGGATGGTTCTAGAGGATTTTTGGAGTGACAGAAATGCCCTATATTTTGCTTTCTGAGGTGATTACATGGGTGCATACAACTGTTAGAATCCACTGAAAATGACAGATCTATACATTTTATTGCATGTAAATCTCAATTTTCAAAATGGACAGTGTCTTCTTAAGAGTTCTATGAATTTCTTCCTGTAATTCAGAAAAGGATACAGTCCTCCTCCTGGAAATAGGACTCTGCTATCTGTTAAAAACAAACAAAAAAAACCCCAAGGAAATTAACATTTGGATGAAAAGCCAAATTTGGAAGAAATCAAGACCTTGAAACTCCGAAAGTCTCTAATACCAAACTAGGAAAACTCTTTATGCAACTACATTACCAGTTCAGAAGAAATCTGATTACAGGCACAGGACACCTTTCTAAAGTTACTTATGCTAAACGAAGCAGAGACATCCTTTGGTCCTTATATAACCTCATTCTGTCTGTTCCATTCCAAGTCAAAGCAAACTTCACTGATTCATTAGCGTTTAGAAGAACTCTAAAGAATGAGGAAAATACTACATAGGCTTTTAAGAGTAGAACACAGGTAAGAAGGACTTTTGTTTATTGTCAGTTAAAAAGTTGAGCTATGTCACATCTCACAGGAGACCTTAAAACCCTGCTCATTTTATTTGTTTCACAAACGACCTCCTAGGAGGACACTGACTTTTGGTTCTGTTTTGATATTACAGAAAAGACTGGGTCAAGTGCTAAGAGTTGAGCAACGATGTTTGGAATATAGCAAAGTACTGCCCAGTCTAAAGGGCACTGGACGGAGGCCAGAGAATCGGGATCTGGTCTTAGGCGAGGCTTATCACTTACCAGACTCATTCTCAGGCACCTTCAAATTGAAAATTTTTTCGGTTCTAAAAACTTTGGGACCTTTTATTTAGATCTTTATTTAGATCCAGGATTTATAAATGGAACCGGAAAACAGAAATTATTTTTTGGAGAGATATCTGCATAAACTGACTTGTCATATATAAAGTATGTCATATAAGTATTTTGCACCTTTAAAACAGTTTTCATTGGTTCTTATTAAATCTCTAGTTAAAAACAAAACAAAACCAGGCGTTCCACTTATAACAAAACAGTGTCTCCATTCTCCAGGTAGCTGCCAATGCAAAAAACAATAAGCTACTTGTCAAACTTATAAACTAGCAATTAAAAGGAATGGCTTTTCCAAATCCCACAGTGGAAAAGCATACTTTTAAATGAAAATAGATGCCTAGTTTAAGTTTATTCTACAGATATAACACTCTTCCACGAGCAATATAAATGACTGGATTCAATCACCTTTTTTTGTAAATTTTTAAAGTTTGATTCCATACTTACTTTCTACTCGGAGGACTTTACAAAGGATAAATTGACTTGCAGGATTCTGTTTGTCTTTTATCAGCTCATTGTTCTAATATCATAGTACTAGTATGAGCCAAATCAAATTGTCAATGTTCAACCCTTTTTTTTTTTAAACCTACAAAATAAGAATTCCATAGACTGCAACCTGTAGTGTGCTGATAAGCGTTTAACAATCGGGCTCTAGAGTGTCGGGGAGAGCCCTGATTTGCAGCGTTTGCTCATTTTTGTGGTGTCAACACCGCCATCAAGGCTGATTTCAAGCTACCAGTAGGATGAGTATCACTGGAAACGGTTCTTGCATGCTGGTCCACTAGCAGGCTCCAGCACACCACTGGGTGGCATCTAATAGAAATCAGTGACATTTCACCCACAGACTTCCCGTGGAAAATCTCTGGCATGGCAGAGTCTTCTCCACCACACACAACATGAGATACAGCTTTAGGTTTCCAGCAAGATAACTGCCTAGCTCTTCAAAGCCATCGCCCTCGCCGTTTTGTGTTTCTGCAACACAGACACCTAGTTGTAAGTGGCTCTCACTTAAGAAGTATTTTTGGAGGTCCATACCTAGTCAGAACTTGATTATCTGGCACTACAGAAATATAAATTTAAATTAGATTTCAGGTTTGTGTGGTAGTTTCAATACCGTAAAAGATAGGGTCATGAAACCCAACGCCTCAAAAGCAAAAGGCATTTCCAGGTGAAAGGACAGCTTGAAAAATACATATACAAGGTATTTCCCCTGCTAACCCTGGGGAGTCCAGCAGGACAAGAGAAGCTGTGATTTTCTTTGACGTCCCATGTGTGTAAGTCTGGGAGGCAGCCCGGTAGGGCAGAAGGAAGGTGGGGCGTGGAGGTCAATAACCTGAAACTACATTCTAGTCCAGGCTCTGCCATTACCAGCTGAGTGACCTTGGATGTGTCATTTCATTGTCTCACAACAGGGACAATAATACCTACAGCCCCACGAGATAAAGCTGCTGCAAGAATTAAGTCAGTATGTGTACTCAGCACAGTGCCCAGAACACAGCAGTAGGCGCTTGAAATGGTTTTTGAGTCTGAACCAGAAGTGCAAGATGCCGAGTACACAGATCTCACCCCTCCTCTCCATTTCCGTTGTCGCCACCTTAACCCGGATGCTTTCTCTCCTTATGCTTGAATTATGAATGGCTTCTTTTAGTTCTTATTTTTATCACGATTATGAATATATACGGTTTAAGGAGTCAAATCGTTCTCTAAGGTGTGTTAAGATAAGCCCCTGCCTCTCTTGTTTCTACACCTCTCTCTTCAGGAGCAAGCTCTTAGGTTTGTTTACCTGGTGTTGTTTTTCTAAACTTCTGTATCTCTAAACGTTATGCTTATATTTGCTATTTCTTGATTTTTCAGTTTTAGCAGAAGACGAGGGTTGAGTCCTTTGATTCTTCCCCGCCCCAATCCCACAAACACACACACTTTCTCTCACATACTCACGCACCTCATAGTGTTATTTTGTAGTAATGGGTAGATAAATATTACTATTTAATGTTTACCTTTATTATGAGCCAAACTTTTTTTCCTTTCCTGAAAATTTTGTGTGTTCCCTGGAGTTACTTTTTTCTTTCCCTTTTTTTTTTTGCAGTTTTCCATGCATTTCTCACACGTACAACTCCAAAACACTCCATCAAGAGCCTAAATCTTCTCAGTATATTCTGACACATCAAGTATTCAGAAACAGGAAAATGACCGAAAAGTCTCTCTTCAGACTCTCTGATCTGCACTAAACAGGGCTGGTTACCCTCTCCTTCTTGGTACATAGCTGTCATCTTAGAATCTCCCTTTACCTGGAGATGCCTTTCACCTCTCTCCTGGGTAGCACCCGAGTTTCCTGTATCTCACATCTTCCTATTTCTTGGTTTACTCTCTTGTTTGGATGGATGGGCCACATCCTCTAGTAGCTTTATGAGAAAGAGTAGAAAGGAGATACCAAAGTCCCTGAAGTGGGAACATCCTTGGCACATCTGCAGAAGTGCTAGGAGGCCAGCATACCTGGGAAGGGATGAATAAGGGGAGGGGTAGGAATTAAGGTCTAAGAGGTAACAGCCAGATCATGGAGGGTCTTGTACAGGCCTTGGTAAGGATTTAGGTTTCTGTTCTGAATGAAAAGGGAAGCCACTAGAGGGCTCTGAGCAGAGAAGTGACATGCTCTGACTTACATTTCATCTGGATCACAGTGACTGCTGTGTAGGGGAAAAAACTACATGGAAGTAAGAGTGAAGGTTCCAACAGTGAGGCATTTACTGCAGGAACCCAGGTGAGATTTGATGGGGTCTTGTACTGAGATGGTAGCATACAGGAGGTAAGAATTTGGAAGCAGATTCTGGACATATTTTGCAGTGGATCTGCAGGACTTACTGATCGGATTTGGATGTGGGGGAAAGTGAGTGAAGGATGACTTCAAAGCATCTGGTCTCAGCAACTGGAGGGATGGGGCTGCCACTTCACAAAAGGGGGATGACCAGGAAAGCCGCAGTTTTAGGAGAAACATAAAAGTTCAATTGTAAACATCTAGTTTGAAATGCCCATTAGACATTTCAGGGAGCTGGATATTTAATTCAGAACTGAATCCTGCAGCACTCCACTGTTTAAAAATTAGTCAAATTTAGAAGACTCAATGAATGAGCCTGGGCAGGCACGGCAGTGAGTTAAGAGGTAAAAACCAAGAATGAGGGGTCCCGAAAGGCCAATAAAGAAAAGGCTTAAAACTGATTAGGTGATCAACTTGTCAAAGCTTCTAATAGCTCCGGTAAGATGAAGCCTCAGGACTGACCACTGGATTTGACAACACGGAGGTCACTCATGACCTTTACAGTACAATTTTGGTGGAGCAGCGGGGACAAAAGCCAGACTACAATGAGTTCAAGAAAGAACTGGGTATGGAATATCACCTAAATAGAGTTCATGCCCCAAATATTTTAACCTGAATCAAATCATGGAGAAATAACCAGACAAATCCTAAGCATAGGACATTCTACTAGAATTCTTGAGTTCTTCGTAAGTGTCAATGATACGAAAAAAAAAAAAAGAAATTTTTTAAATGTAAAAAGCCATGGGAGAGGACCAGCCAAGTGGCTCAGTTGGTTAAGAGTTAGCTTAAGAGAGCGAGCTCTGAGCAACAGGGCCACTGGTTCGATTCCCACATGGGCCAGTGACGCTGTGCCCGAGCTAAGCTGAGCTGCCACTGAGCTGCCAACAGGTAGCAGGATGGCTCAGTTGGTGAGAGCGCATGCTCCTAACAACAAGGTTGCCTGTTTGATGGTGGGCTACACCCACCTGCAACTAAGACTGAACTCAACATCTTGAGCTGAGCTGCCACCCGGATGGCTCAGTGGATACAGTGTGTGCTCTTAACAACAAGGCTGCTGGTTCGACTCCCACATGGGATGGTGGCTACGCCCACCCGCAACTAACATTGAACACAGCACCTTGAGCTTAGAGGCCACGAGCTGCCGACGGGCAGCCAGGTGGCAACTGGTGTCCTCTACAATGAAGATTGAAGAACAACAACTTGACTAGTCCCCTTCCCCAATTCCCCAACACTGTTCCCCTCTCTCAATTCTCCAATTAAAAAAAAAAAAAGAAAAAAAAAGCCACGGGAATGCTCTGGATTATGAAAGACTACAGAATCCTGACAACCAAAGGCAATATGTGCTCCTTCACTGGGTCCTGGATTGGGGGAAAACTAGTTATAATGAACATTTTGTGGAACAACTTGAGGCTAACGTAACTATAGGCTGTATATTAAATAATACTGTATAAATGTCAAAGTTCTTGGTGCTGATAATGGCATTGCAGGCTACGTAGGAGGAGTATTCCTGTTCTTGAGAAATACATGTGCAAGTATTTAGGGATAAAATGATACAATGCCTGAAAATTACTTTAAAATGTTTCGGTAGAAACTATGTGTGCGTGGACATGGTGGGGGTGGGGCACAAAATTTTGGAAAATGTCAACAACTGGGGAATCCAGGTGGAAGACACAGTGTGAGGTGCTGGGAATTAATGAAATGAAAGAAACATCATTGCATGTCTCCCTGATCTGTGTCTCTGTTGGGAGGTGAGAGGATATTTTGTATTCCATGGCTCGGCAGCCGTGATGTCTCAGTTTACCGCAGGCTTCAGCATGCTGACCCCCAGCCTTGATGTCTAACAAGCAGTCTTTGAATTAGTGACAGGTGAGGATATAGTTATAATGTTTAACATTTACAGTTTTTGGCTTTTCCTATGTATCCAGCACTGTGTTAAGTGTTACTACCTGCATTAATCTCCTTTAGTCCTGTGCAACTTTACAGAAGAAGAAACTGAAAGCCAAAGCCCATGCTTTTAAACCACCACTACACTCTCTAGGTTGTTCAGAGGATGAAACGACAGTAAGTGTGAATACACTTTGCAAAGTCAACCCACTGCACAAATACAAGAAAGGCTGAAAGATGAGAAAGTGGCCTTGGCACTGGTGCTTCTCACCTATGGAAAGTTAGGAACACGTTAGACAGAGGTCAAAAGGCAGCACCCATTTTCTCCAAGGCATTCCTCAAGTCCACAAAAGAGGTAATGTAAATTTGTAAGAATATACATTTTCCTGCCTTGGGACAAAAGTTATTTTACTTTCTAAAAATTAAAAATCACTCACTACTCATTGCAAAAGTTAAAATGAAATAGAAGTAAATGACATAAAAAGTAAATAAAGCTTTTTCCATTCCCATGTGCCAGTTATTTTCATTTTAAGGAAAAATAAAATACAGCTCATAAATATCTTCATTTTTTTCTGAGTTGGCTCTTGTGTAAAAAGGCTTCCTCACCACTGTCCTAAAGGCTGCCCAGTCTCTTCATCTCCTAATTTACTCTCACAGTCATCAGAAAAGTTTTTTCTAAAATTCAAATTTCAGTGTGCATTCCCATAATTAAAAACTCTCAGCCCTTGAAAGAACGGTCTTAATATCACTAGCTAGCCAATCTCATTTCCTAAATCGTTTCCATCTTAATCTCCAACAATATCCCAGCCATGCCTTTGCACAGACTGATCTCTCTTCCTTTCTCAACTCTCTTTGTTCATCTAATGAGCGCCTACACGTCCTGCAAAATCTCAGCTCAAGAGTCACCTTCTTTGGACCTACTGAAGACAGGACAAAATTAATCAAGCATTTGGTGCTTTTGCTGGACCTTAAACATATCTACTTTTATGCTTAATCCAGACTTCTGCAATTATTGATCTACGTAACTGTTTCTCTATTCCACAGGGGCTCTGTTAAGGACACACCCTGTTAAGTAATCTTTGTTTCCTTAGTGCCAGCATTGTTTTTGGCACCTAGTGGGTGCTTGCTAAGCACTTGCTACACTGACTCTTATAAGCACACAGCTTATTCACTAAATAAAAGAAGTCGGCAATCGTTCAAATGATAGAGTACTACCCGAGGCCAGAGTGTGGCCGCCAGTCAGTAATATGCACATTTCTCATCAGCCACTGATCCAGGGTCGTCATCTCCTGGGCTCACCAATGACAGATCTGGGAGAATCAATGACAGAGGATTGGATTTCGGGTCATTGCCCACACTGGTCCCAGAATTTGACTGAGGCTGGAAGTGAAGGGTTTCATGTAGTACCTGATGAAGGCAAAGAGGAAGAGTTGTTGAGTCCAAGTCTTCCGCTTCCCCTCGGATCAGAGAGAACAGAGTCTGCAGAGCCAGCCGGGGGGCTTCGGGCGGGTCATTGGCGTTCACCTCAGCGCACGCTCCATCACCGACAGCACATGCACTTACTACATATTCTTGCAGTAAAGGCGGGGAATCTCCTGAAGAAAGCTCTTTAAGAAGTAAATAAAATGTCTACGTTACAATAAATGTCCATCATGGTGAATACCTTAAAACAATTATTCCTGATAATCAGACGATTTTCAAATAAAACTAGTTATATGAAAAAAAAAAGCAGAAACCACAAGTTATTGTCCTGCTTAAGATTTTGATGATACCTGAATGTTTCTATTAGTGCACACAGAAACCACTTTGTTTTTGCAGAATTCTAATTAAGAATATGAATTAAAAGAGATCTAAAGAAAAGTAGGCAGGTTAAAACCTGACCAAAAACTTGATTCTCCCAAAGGAAAAACGGATTAGCTATAATTGGAAGTCCTGGCTTGCCCCAAATAGAAATGAACAGGAAGAGAGATGTGTTTATCATATGAAATGCCTCAAGAAGTTAAAGCCTTCCTCTTTAAACTCTGGTCTGATAACTTTAGAACTACTTCTGGGTCCCAGAAGAGCAGGAATTCAGATGCCAGAGCTAATATGGCCACTGAAACTTTTTTTCCTAATAAAAAGAAGTGAAGTAACACAAACTCATTAAAAAAACAAACAAACAAAATCATCAGTAAATAACTGCTTGGCCCCCAGCTCCTGAAATGATGCACATAATTTAAAATATGTAATCACTATACATTATAACTTCGCCCTTCACTGAAACCTGTGTCAATTCTAATTTTCATATTCAAATTGAATAGACTGCCTGCGTGTGTCCATACCTTCAGCTGGTCTGCCTCAGAAGGATCTTTCTCAGTAATCAGTGTGTGCGCCATGACTGAGGCCGCCTCCCTAGACCTCTAGAGATTACCCAGAGCCGTCTTCTACTGCCTTCCACATAAACACATTGCTCTGGTCACACTGGTCAATTCTTCATCTCTCTAATCAACACTCTGTGCCTTTCTGGCAATTACAGATTCTAACAGTAGGGTTATTTGCCTCTCATCTATGCCTATTTATGTTCTACCCTAACAAAATCCATGTATTTTCCTATAACATGGGCCTGAAGTAAACTTATTTCCCTATGATTATGGCCTTACATTATGCTGGGTTGCATCATAGGAATTGGTGTAAGGTCTCATCTTTATTAGATCATAGCTCCTGCAGCAGAGGGATTAATTTATCTACCGTGGTATCCCAATTATATCCAGCAGTGTCTTCAGCACTAAAATTCCAAGTACTTATTTAAAAAAACAAAACAAAACACCTACAGTGATTCCTTACATTTTTCTGCTAAATCCATTTTCTCAGTTATTTTAATAATTGTTATGCATAAGCACAATTTATAAACAAGCAATGCATTAGTAAACATAATTACGTAGCCAACAAAAACATTTCAACAGGAAGAATATTAATCACAAAACATAACCAACAGAAATCCCAAAAGCCTACAGAAGTCTAAGGGTTCCAAGAGCAACAGAAGGCTAATGCAAGAATCAGAAAGAATATAGTACTTTAGTCACCAAGGGTGGGGAGGGGGTGGAAAATATAAACTGGGTTCAGATGGGTCATTCAAGATGGGTTAAGAGATCACGGCAACTTGCAAGACTCATACCACAAAAGGATTACCTACCGAGGCTTGAAGATCATGAGCTTCAGAGATGACTTAAACAAAAAAACGCCTTACCTCTTGAGATAACATTCCTTGCTGGGACAAGTAGTATGAAACAAAGAGCACTGGAATAGGAGCAAGAGGCTTCCGTTCTGTCATATTCTAAATGACCTTGGATTAGACATTTTTTTCTCTGTACTATAGTTTCCTTATCTTTAAGATGAAGGGGTTGGCTAGGTCTCAGGTCCCACCTAGATCTGACCATCTCAAACACTCACAATCTCCACAGCAATTCTGATATTTAAGAAATGTGGACAGGATGGACCCCATGACCCCAGCCTCCAGGGCAGCTCTGACAGACACAGGCTCCTGGCCTTACTCAGGGCCAGGCCATGCCTTGCAGACCCACCCTCCAGACTGGCACTCATGGCTCCAGGCTCCAAGTTCACTCAAGCTCCAGGCCACCCCTACTGACCCAGGATACAGGCTGGGGCCCTCGGACATAGACTCCCAGCCTGTGCCAGAACAAGGCTGGTCTTCATGGATTCATCAGGTCCACTCCAATGGTCCCGAAAACCTGGCTGGCTCCCAAGGATCCAGGCTTGCCCCAGTAGACCCAGGCATGAGGCTGGCCCCTGTGGACCAAAGCACCAGGCCTGCCCACCTACTGACCCAGGAACTGGACTTGTCCACTGAAGGAGTCCAGCACCAAGCCCGCCCATGGACACCACTAGATGGAACACCCAGACAGGCTGACTAGTGAAAGACTTTCCCTTCCCAAGCTATTCTGTAAACACTACCTCAAATATGCAAGCACCAAAGCAAGGCTACGTGGATCACAAATAATCAGGAAAACATAACACTACTAAAGGAAACTAATAAAGCTCTAATAACTGACCCTAAAGACATGGAGTTCTATGAACTCTTTAAAAAAGATTTCAGAATAATCCTCTTGGAATTAGAAAAACAATACGTGAACAAAATGAGAAATTCAACAAAGAAATCAAACTGCTAAAAAGAAGTCAAACAGAAATCCTAGAGTGGAAGAATAAATATGTTGACTGAACTGAAGAATTCAATACAGAGTCATCAGCAGACTCAATCAAGCAAAAGAAAGAATCAGTGTACTCAAAGACAGATCATTTGAAATTATCCAATCAGAAGGCCAAAAAGTAAAAAAGAATGAAAAGGAGCAAAGAAAGCTCATGGAATTATGGGGTTCAATTAAGAGAAACAATTTACATATTACTGGAATCCCAGAAGGAGAAAAGAGGGAGAAATGGGCAAAAAGCTAATTTACAAAAATCAAGACAGAAATCTCCAGATCTGGGAAGAAATTCTGACATCCAAGTTCATGAAGCTTATAGGTTCCCCAAAAGTTTCAACATAAAAAGACACATTATAATAAACCTGTTTAAAATAAAAGAAACAGAGAAAAATTTAAAAGTAGCAAGAGAAAAAAAAAATCCTCCCATACAAGAAAACCCCCAAAAGGCAACCAGTGGATTATCTCAGCAGAAATCTTGCAGGCAGGAGAGAGTGGGATAATGTGTTCAAAGTGCTAGAAGGAAAAAACTGCCAACCAAGAACACTTTACCCAGCAAAATTGTCCAAAAAACCCCCAAATAAAACAAAACAAAAAACTCCACAGCACTACAAAGGGAAGAACATCATCAAATTCAGAAAACTCTAATATAGTAATGGTATTATGTAAATAACTTTTAACTCTGGTATAAAAGTTAGAAGACAAAAGTATTAAAAATAACCATGGCTACAATAAAGTACTACCCTGATACCAGAGCCAGACAAAGACACTATCAAAGAAGAAAACTGTAGACCAATATTCCTTATGAATATAAATGCCAAAATGCTCAACAAAATTGTAGGAAACCAAATTCGGCAGCATATTAAAATGATCATACACTACTACCAAGTTGGATTTATCCCCAGAACTCAAGGGTGGTTCAACATAAGAAAATCAATCAATGTAATACACTACATTAACAGAAGGAAGAAAAATCCCACAGAATCATCTCAGTTAATACATAAAAAACATCTGACAAAATCCAACACCCTAGATAACTGACCCTTAGATCATTTGCCTTTCCCTTACCGAGCTTTAATTCCCACTCTTAAGTTTTAAATTCACCAATAAACAGTAACCTAAGGAATGCAAAACCTAAGGCATTCCGTCCTCATCCCTAATAAAGGCAGAACTGCTTTCCTCCTCAAGACCTTGCTGTGTGGTCCCAGGTGTGCGGTGTATCCTCCAGGACCTGTGAGTAATAAACCTTTTTATTTCAAAGATCACTGACGGTTGCGGCTGAGATGCGCTTTGCAGTCATAATAAGAACCACAAGGGCGGGCCCATCACACCATTGGCTGTGGTCAGAGAAACATCCGTGTGGGCTCGCCTCAAGCAGTAGAGCTCAGGTGAGAGCCCCCAGTCATTTCTAGCCCATAGCATCACTATA